TTGGGCGTGCCATTCTTTGACGATGAGACCGAGAGACCCTTCATAGTATCCACGGATGCTGGACCATGTTCAGTAGGTGGTTTACTGTCTCAGAAGGACGCTGGAGGGAAGGAAAGACCGTTAAGATTCGAGAGTAGGACACTTAATACGGCTGAGCGTAACTACAATCAATTCAAGAAGGAAGTGTTAGTTGTTCTCCGGTGTCTAGACACGTTCAGACACTATATCTATGGGCGACGGTTCATCTTGAGAGTAGACCCCACCGCGGTTGCCTCTGTCCTCCAGAAGGACTTTAGTCTGACGCCCCGACCATCGTCCGATGGTTAATACGGATTCGGCTATACGATTACACGGTTGAGAGGATATCTGGCACTAAAAATGCCGTGGTAGATGAACTTTCGCGCATCTCTCTTGAGGCCGAGCGCCCGATAGTAGTTGGGGCCCTGACTATGGCGGAGCCAGGACCCACCGAGCGTTTTCTGGTTAACCTTTACAAGGGCAAATACCGAATGATCGGGCTACATTTGTCAGGAAAGGAGAGTCAAGAATCAGATATCCGGAGACAAGCGGCCCAGTACTGCCTTAGAGCTGGTCATCTGTTTCGAAGGCCGAGCGGCTCGGGGATGCCCTTACGAGTAGTCTGTGACCCTGAGGAGAGACAGACAATAGTTGCGGAGCTTCACGACGGGGTAGTCGGAGGACACAGGGGAGTCAAAGGAACCTACGAAAAGGTACGCAGGTTGTACTGGTGGGAAGGACAGTATAAGGACGTCGAGAGGTATTGTAGGACATGCGAAGAGTGTCAGAAGAGAGCTTTTGTGAAATACAAAGAGCCACTTCATCCGTCCTATCCGACCAGACCAGGAGAGAAGGTACACATCGATCTAGTGAAAATGTCGAAAGGGGTAGGCAATATGGACTACGTCGTGAACATACGAGACGATTTCACTTGGTTCGTGGACGATAGACCTATCAGGAGTAAGGCGGCAAAGGAAGTAAAGAACTTTGTCCTAGAGTACTTATCTAGGTATGGTTGTGTCAGCAAGATAGTAATGGACAGAGGGGCGGAATTCCTAGCCGACGAGGTTCAGAGCGTGTTCAGGAGAGCCGGGGCGAGAGTTTCGGTAGCCACCGCGTATCACCCACAGTCGAACTCCCCAGTAGAGAGGGGACACCAGACTCTAATAGCGTCAGTGTCCAAGTGGTGCAAGGGTAAGGACAGTGATTGGCCACGATATTTTCGATACGCAATATGGGCAGACAACGTCACGGTCCGGGCTAGTACCAGATACCCACCATACACCTTGTGGTTTGGGCGACATTGTCCGCTTCCCATAGAGTTTCACGTCGACAGCTGGACAACCGTCGACTGGGCGGATGAGATGTCCAGAGAGGAACTTATAGCTGCCCGAACAGGACAGATAGCCTACGGTTTGGAAGATAACCTTATGACAGCGGCAGATCGTCTGGCAGTGGAAAGAGACAAAGGTAAAGAGAGATGGGATAAGAACGTGAGAATCAGGAAGGAGAGGGTGAGTGTAGGAGATATGGTCATTCTCTACGATGCAGCGCTGGAAAGAACCTGGACCGGAAAACTCGCCAACAGATGGATGGGACCTTACAGAGTGGTTGAGGCACTCGACTGGGGTGCATATATGATAGCAGAATTAGACGAATCTAAGTGGAAGGACCCAGTGGCGGGTGCTAGGTTAAAGCTGTTTAGGCCCAGGCCCGCGCCCGCCTTATCACTGACTAGCCCGAAAGGGAAAGAAAAAACTATAATGGAGGATGGAGCCCCCTTGAGGCAATTCGAGGCAGGGGAGAGTTCCAAGAAAAGGAAAAGAATAGACAAGAGAAAGGCCAAAGAGTTAGCTTTAGGAAGAGAGAAGAGATGGTTATTCGTGCTCAAGCGAGCTAGACGGAGAGTTCGCGTTAGACGTACTGGCGGGTCGACACCCTTCTCGGGGCAAAGACAGAAGAAAAAGAGGATCGTGCCGGGACCCAAAACCAGAAGAAACAGGAGAGTCAAGAAGCATCTTCTTAGCCCCAAGACTCATAACAAACTGAAACATAAGACAATTGAACGCCGACGTGGGCGTCCTTTACGGGCCATCACCCTGAAGCTCGTCCGCTTCGTCTGACGTAAGTTGCTAGGGCTCGACGGGGGCGTCGAGAAGTGGTCCGGGCTAACTGTCAGGCGACCACAAGTGGTGCGCCGCCTGAAATCTACGGTTTTGGGACTTAGGCGCAAAGACGAGTCTGAGTTTTGACGATACTCTGGTTAGACCAGGCAACGGAAATTAGGGGAGCTCAGGGCGCCCTTGATTTTGGGCGCGCTGAACCTTACGGGTAACCCTCAAAGATGGCAAGATGGGTAGTCGCACTCGGCACATCAACGGACCGTCATTTCCGACCGTTCAGAGGGTTAGACCCGGATTGGCCTGCCGCGGGGAGGCATCGCGGGAACTGACCTCGCAGCCACATTTTTTGCGGCAGACGACCGGGGCTGAAATGAGACTCAAATTTTTGTCTATTTTAGTACCATAATTAAAGATGGGGAAAATGGATTACGACTAGTAGGGGAGAAGGGAAAAACATAATATCCCTTAATTTCTTTATTTTTTACGGCATTTAATTCAAGGGGGAATACCCCTTTTATTTTATGTTCCCGACAATGAAATTAAAAACTTAGAAAAAGATTATAAATGGTAAAAAAGAAAAGAAACAAAAGGAATTCGGCCATTTATTTAAACTTTCTCGGAATTTTATTTTGATCTTACGGTTAATTTACTATTTCCAACAATAGAATTAAGGAAAGGGAAGAATGATGAAAAATGATGAAAGGGACGGGAACGCATGATTATTAGGAGACTGGCCTAATTTCGCGTCGATTACCCGCCATTAGCTCTGACCCCGGATTGAACATTTTCCCCGGATTTTAACAATTTTTACTACTGCCGATGGTCGAGGTTCCCTGCGTCGCTTTCCGTGGTTTGCTTGATTACTAACATTACCGCATTTGGGATGTTCTGAGAGCGGGAGTCGCATGGACAGCATGGGGTGGTGCTACCTTGGGTCGACTATGGTGTTTGGTTCAGTACAGATACGAGGGTTGTTACGGAGTGGCTTCGTACTACGGTGTCTGGCGTGCTTCAGGTGCGGTATGGGCCCGGTGACAGTTGTTTCATTACGGTGGCTTATTTTCAGGTTTGGGACAGGTACGGTGATTTATTCTCAGGGCCGGGGCTGCTACGACAGTTATTCCAGGTTTGGAACTTTGGCAGCAGTTTGTTTTCAGGTTCGGAAACGTTGCGGCATTGTATATCAGGTTCGGGACAGTTATGGAATTATCATGGCATGGTTGTACGGGTTCGGCATCCTCGTGGCACAGCAGCCCGGTACTGGATTTTGGGTCTGGTCAGGTTCGGTGGCATCGTGGTGTTTCGTTTCAGGTTCGACGCCCTCACGACGATTTATTTCGGGTTCGG